TAACTGCAATAGGTACAGATATGCATAGGCACAGAATTAAGAAACTGTTTCTCACTTCCCACTGATAGTATCTTGTGGAGTGTAGCTGACCTATGTGACACGGGACTGGTTGTGCTGATTGTGTCCTTCCCATCTCATTTGTGACTGCATCCATCTTGATATATTAGATGGAGTCTGGGAATAAGGGGGATAGCTGCCTTGCCAGATTGCAAAAAGTGCAGTAAAGGAATTGATTGATTTAAATCAGTCGCAGTACATTAAAAATTGAAGTTAAAGCTCTATTGCATTGTTTTGCTTGGTTAAAATGGATATTTTAATGTTTTGCTTCTACTTACTTTTGAGGTTTTAAAAATTTTGCTACCAAAATGGGTTTCTAAATAAAATGTTTGATATTTATTTTTGAAAACGTCACCACTTCACCAGGGTGTTTTTTGTGAAATCTTTCACTGAAAGATGGCAGAGCTGGTACGAATTCGTGAATTGCTCTTGTTGTCCCATAAGTATTCCTGATGGAAGGAAAAAAAAGAAATTAACTGGAAGATCCTCCATCTGTGCTTGAATTCTCTTAAAGAAATAAAGCAAGGCTGAGCAAACCTTCCAGCAAAATGCTGAGCAGAATCATAGAATATCTCAAGTTGGACGGGACCCATAAGGATCATAGAGTCCAACTCCCTTAGTCCTTTAGGACTACATAAGACTAGACCATATGAGCAGAACTTTTCTGAACAGGCAAAACATATCAGTAAGAAGTTTGCTCATAAACGTGTGTACCCAGGCTAAAGCATTAAATGCAGACTGAAGGTTTAAAGCCATTGGGAGCTGATCTGCAGAAGTCAGTGGGAAGCCACTTACAACATCCTCCGTGAAAACCAGCTGTGTTACTGTTTTGTGCTGTGCCCTGTGCTATTTTTTTCATGAGCTTCCTCTAAGTAGAAGAGGGACCTTTATTGTTACTATCAGTAAATTAGAGTACTGCATTATCTGAAAACTACTTACCCCTGCCTCCTTCCACAGTTTCCTTATGGATTTAAGTGACCTGAGGATAATTAGGTCTATGTCTTTCTGAGGGTCCCTGGCTCTGGGCTGCATTTCTCTCTCAGCTTCTTCCCAAGATATAGTGCTTTGTGCCCTCTCTTGCTTCCACTCATCCCACTATAGAGAAAGCAATATGATATCAAGGCACCAGTCATCTCATCCAGGATGGAAACTGCTTTCTGTATTAAACTGTTAAAGATGCTGATAAAGACTTCAGCAGGTTTGAGACTGAAGAGAACCTTCCACTTTTCCATATCAGCTTTTGCCCTCTCAAGAGCCAGGCTACAGGAAGGAAGTCCCAGAGGCGGGCAAGTAGCAGGTCTGCTGTATGGCTGGCACTTAACTTTATGCATCCCTTCATCATCCATGAACACTATATTGCACAGCCAAACGTTGAATGCTAAACACTTCATAAAGTTGCAGTCCTGACCCCAGGCTCCCTGTAGCCTGAGTAGGTTAAATCCAGATTCTCAGGGAAGCAGTTTGAGCAGGAATCTGAAGACTTGATCCTGCAGCTATAATGTTGGTACTTGGAACCTGGTGGGTTTTTTTTTTTCCCAGGAGTATGTGTAAAAGAGAGAATCAGTCTAGACTAAGTTGATTGTATCTCTTGTCAAAGATGCTTTTGAGCAGAGACAGTAAAAATAACATATATAAACAAACATTTCCAGTGAACTCTTCTGACTTGCACTCTAAGAACCTTTGTAAGAAGCATTGCTGTCTGACCAGTGAAGGAATGCATGAGTTAAGCAGAAGATTTTGATGCAACTGATGTTTTGCTCACTTAATTCTTATTTGGGTGTATGTCAAGGCAAGGCTTACATCCTGATATTGCTGCAGTGAGCTCTGCAGTGAAAGCCAGGGATGTTCCACCAGATGATAATTACCAATAGCTGCCTGTCACTGCAAAAATTTTCTCCAAAGTAGTTAGTTCTTACTAGTGCTTTTTACTTTGAACTTATTCATTTGTCTAGGAATCTTTGTGAACTTGACTATTCCTCCTCCCCTTCCAAGATATCACCTGGGGGAACCTGCAGGTTAATAGTGTCCTGTGCTATAATCTTCCAGTTATTCATGTAGACAGCCTATCAAATGGGCAGAAATGGACCGCAGCTCTGATCATCTGGCTAAGGCGATTAATATCATCTAATGCGGTGTGTTGGTACCAAATAGATTACAAGGAGCAGAAGAGGTTTGGAGGCTGAGAGTGTGAGTTGGGAGGGGAGGAGTATAAAACCCCTCAGGAAATCAGTAGCCATCTCGATTTGCAACTTTTGTAGTTAATATACTGTGTGCAGCAAAACGTGTTCTCTGGAGTTTGAGGATGTACTTGATAGGAAGGTATCAAAGAGGATGCTTGCTATAAAGCTTATGTTTAGAATAAACAACTATAATCAAGTAACACTTTGTGCTGAAATCTTGTCTTAATTTCATCTTCTTAAACGAAGTACAGAAATATTTTTGGTGTTTAAAGCATGTATCTAGTGTTTCCTGCAGCTTGTTTAGTCTTATTAGGCATGTAAAGATGTTAGTCTTTAACTGGGTGTTACATAACTGTGGGTATAATCAACTTTATTTGGTCAAGACAGTAAAAGCATACTCTGTATACATTATGTAGTACTTGAAAAATGTGTTTATATTGGGGCATTCCATTGATTTGACAAATAATAGGTCATTAATGTCAAAGTTGACTTAAAATCTGAAGCCACACCCATACAGCAGGCACGGAAGTGAATACAGGCTATATTAGCTTGCCTGACATGTAACAGCTAAACTGCACTAGAACAAGCTCAGGCATCTCTGCCACATTCTGGTCATGTCTGAAGTGTCTGTAGACAAGCTGCTAGCTTAAACTACAGAATCAGAGGTGCTGTTCAGTCTGTATTTTTTTCATTCCCCTGTTACTTTAAGCATATATAAAACTAGGAAACTTCTTGGCTATTTCTATTGCCATGCAACTGAAAACTAAATGAACATAAACTGGACTTCTGAGAGATGTCTGTTTCAGGAGGATGTTAGCAGATACATACAGTGCTCAGCTGCAATGAAATAATGGCATGAGGGGACTGCCAAAAGTATATGGTCCTGTGCACTGTAGGTGCCCCTGGGGCTGGTAATGGGTGTCTGTGCACTTGTTATCCCATCCCTCCAGAACTGTCTCCAAGTCCCTCTGGAGCTCCCATTTTATGGCTTGAAGTCCTTGTTGACTGCTTGCTCCATGCTTTAGTATTTTATCATGTGAAGATTGGGGGGTGGGATAGAGGGGAGTGTGCATATATGTATGAGAGAGAAGTTAAAATTTGATGCAGACTATATTCAGAGCTGCTTTATAATTATAAACTGTCACCTTTCATGCACTACAGGTTGGTTAGTGTGTTAGGGTTTTGTGTTGGTAGTTTAACTGGGCCCCTATAGTGCCAAGTGGTGTTTTTATTGCCAGGTAGTTGAGTGCTTAATAAATCTATGCAATGGTATTAAGTTAATTTTATGGCCCAGTCAACTTTTTCCTGTTTTCAGCTTTTAGGAACAGGACAGCCGCTAGATTTTTCAGGTGGCTTAGTTCACATGTGAATTTTGAACCCAGCACATTTTTCTTAGGAACTTTTTCTCCCCCAACTACTCATCAAGTTATTTTAAGAGGTTGTCAGCACTAAACAAAATCAAGGCCATAAAGCAAAATGCTGAACAAGATAGCTCTGCTTTTTTTGATCAGCAGTAATCCAGCCAGGTGTATTAAAAGGCTATGCAAGTTGCTTCCACAGGACGTAGACTCTGGAAAAAATGCCATGTAAAAAAACCTCTGTCTCCCCCATTCCCCAAGCTCCCCATTCTCCCCCTATTTTAATAGTAAAGCTTTTAGATATCAGTTACATTCTTTTTGTTGAGTGTTACGTGGCTGACTTGAGATGTGGAAAAGTTTTGTCTAAAGTTTTATTTAAGGGAATATAAAATAATTTGGAACTTTAACTAAAACTGATGGGGAAAGGAATTAGGGTTGTTTGTACAGATGGGGTTAGAATGGAAATATTTAATCTACATGTAGGTATTTCCATAATATCTCATATGATTTGGTAACCTGATCCACCTTTTCCATGGAAAAAGGGCATTTTAGGTGTCTTATCCAATTTAGTAACCTAGTCCTGAGTATTTTTCCACTTCTTCCTGGTTTAGACTAGTTTAATTCTATTGAATTCCATGAATTCTTATCGAACTGGAACTGATGTAAAATGAGAGAAGGATCAGGTTAAAGTAACTACCAATAAAACAGATAAGAATATTCAGATGTCATGGAGTCAGCCTTTTGTTTTTGAATTGGAATTGAGTAACATCATTGCTGAAGTCAGAGGTGCACCAGCATGCAAGGCATATGTGAGATCAGGGAGAGGCCTTATTCTTTCTGATCCTAACTGCGTAGTCTGAGATTGGAAAGGCAGCCTGGCAAGTGGGGAAGTAAGCTGGAGGAGGGAATAAGGTAAGCCTGCAGTACCTTTTGCCAAACCACTGAAAATGTCTCTGATTTACTCTCTGAACGTATTAGTGGTCTTTCTCCTCCTGGATGGAGATGCGCTGTTGACAGCAGACAGGGAAGCCTGCACTGTTAATCTGTAAACCATCGTAGCTGAAGAGGAAACTCCCTTCTCCAGTGTTCCCAATATAACATCACTGGCGTATGCCAAAGTGTATCAGATGGGGCTGGGGGAGGAAAACAAAGCTTTAAAACCTTTTATATCTATTTGGTCTCTTTTGCATAAAATATGAGCAAGTAGATAAACGTGAAACTATTTTTAAAGCTACTTTCTCCTTCTGAAATAGTTTGGCACAGGTTCTGAAGCTTAGTTGTTGAATAAAGAAACTTCCCAGCAACTGCCCTTTGATTACTTCTAAATGTAGATTACAGCTGTCCTTTTGGGAAAGGCACATAGCTCACCATGTGAGAAACTGACACCTTTTTCTCTCCTTTTCAGAGTATCTCCTCTACAGAAGTCTGAAATAGTAGACATGGTCAAGAAACACGTCAATGCCATAACACTTGCCATTGGGGACGGTGCCAATGACGTAGGAATGATCCAGACAGCTCACGTTGGAGTGGGGATCAGTGGCAATGAGGGCATGCAGGCAACCAATTGCTCGGATTATGCTATTGCACAGGTCAGAGGCAAAAAAGAGCAACTGCCATATCCTGTTGTCAGAAATGCGCTGTGCTTGATGGCTTCTCCTAGCCTTCAAGCTAGGAGTATCTCTGCTCGTTTCCTTTTCAAGGCGGCTGTCTAAAGCAGATATCTTGGATGTATTTTTGGGATTCATTATTACGATTTTTGTATTCTTCAGGGCAAAGCTCTACCTCCCCTCAAAGTTTCAGTTTCCTCCTGACAGCTGTGCAATGTCTTGGTTCTTCAGTAATTGGGGAGAAGCACTTTCTGTGATGCTTATGTTAACCTGCTTTTAAGTGTAACTTATCTCTCTTGGTGCAAGCTCTTTTCTCTTACTGTGAGTAGGCATTATAACCAGGTGTTGTGTAAGAGTTTGGCTGTTTGAAAATTCTTATTTTGAGGTGTGTCCTCCTTTTTCTTTTTTTATTCCTCCCACCCCCATGACGTATCCAAGAATTGCTCACAGTTCTAGAGAGCTGGCCAGCATTTTCATTTTAGGTATGTTATTTTGAACGTTATTTGGGTGAGTGCTCCCAAACTATCCCATCAAATTCAGCACTGATTACTTCAACTAAAGATGAGAGTAAAAAGCCTTTTTTGTTTTACTGAAGAAAGCAAGATGTAGAATAAAGACTTAAAAAGAAACATAAGAAAGAAAGGAGACGCTTCAGTTGCTGGACATCCTCTGAATACTGTTTACAGCTGGGGTGCTCTGTGTATGTGTCTGAGACTGATCGCAGGGCAAGAACGGATGGAGCTGACAGGAAGCAGAGATGATCCACTGTCTCCTCAGTGATCTGTGAGCATCAGCTGATTGTTCCCTTCTGGCAGGGTGTAGGCAGACTTGCTCTACCAAGTGATACGAAATATTACTCTCTCCTGATATTTTCAGCAGAAGGTGAGGTTTTGAAAAGGCATGGATAATGCTGCTGTTTGTGCAGATAACTGTTTATTGTGTTAACCCTGCTGTGAAGCAAAGTGGCGGGCTTGTATTGCCGCTCTGTTCTGCGGTCTGATGAAGCACCCTGGGTTTCAGGCTTGAATAACTGAGACCTTTAACCAAATTTATCTTGAAAATTTTAGGCTGTTTAATCAAGGGCTTATTCTGTCATAAACAGTAGCATATTCCAAATACATAGCATTATAGGAACTGCCATAATCATAAAGTCTGTGGTATCTTGTAATGACTTTCTCATTTTTAACTTCTGTAGACTATATATTGCTTCTGCTGTATAACTTCATTGAATGCTCTTTACTTAGACTTCCTCAGATCATTGATTACTTCCATTATGATAAGTAAGCATAAGCAGTGAGAGTTTTGTCCATAGAGGGCCCTACACACTTAATTCCTTTTGTGTTAGTTGCAGTAAAGTTAAATCTGCAGAAGTAATTTCATGTTCATGTGTTGCTTCTGCATTAACAAAAAACACTGCCTTTGGATTTAGTGTTAGAATGCGGAAGTAAGTTGCTCTTGGTTTAAATTCCAGTCAGGGAGTTTCTGACAATAGCAATGAATCTTAGTTCAATATGAAATAAAAGCTGGTCCTACCAGCACAGAATTTTAACTTTCAAAAATGAGTAAAACACTGTGGAACTGTATTTTTTTGTGATTGTGTAGAAGAGCTTTGTGCTGATTAAAAAAACTTACAAATGAACCCCTCTTGTAAAGGAGACTGAAGTGTATGGTAATGTGTGTTTCAAAAAAAAAAAAGTGTTCAAAAGAAAAACTTGATCTCCGTGGGGTATATTTCTTTCAGTGAAGACATGTACCTCCCACTAAAGCGTTACTGTATGTGCATGCCTTGAAGGCAGAGTATGTTCTTATTGAGTAATTTAAGACGACCACTATAACGTAGCATCTCATGTTCAAATGGTATTTCAAATGCAGTGGTGCCAGAAGTAGGCACTTACGGAAGAGAAAGTCTCTATATAGGCTCATTCAGGATTCCAGGGGGAATCAAAGCATAAACCAAACAAAAATAAAAAGGCAACTTGTGTCTAACTCTACTCCGAATAGCTTCCACAGGTGCAAGGAGCATCTGTTTGAATCATCCTTTTCCCTTGAAATTATATTGAACCAGTGATCCATATTTAGAGAATTCCCAAACCAAATGACCTAACTGTTTAGAGACAGTAGTAGAATTTAATAACTTGTTTCCTCAGTAAAAGGATTCATCTTTTTAATCCAGAGAGCATCTGGTGTCTAGGGACTGTTTCCTTTTCTTATCTAGGGAAACTTCTTTCTTAAACAAATGTTCATGTTTCAGTTTTCCTCTCTGGAAAATTTGGCTTGCATTTTGGATGCATTTTCATAGTCTTAAACCTGCCCCCAACATGGCATCACCTCATCCTTTAGTCAAGATGGGGGGTATCTTTCTAAAAGATAATCTCTGTATAAAAAAAGTTATGCTAGGATTGATAGAGAGATGACTGTGAAAACTTCTAGAAGCTGTTTCGCAGGTAGGCCGGCCAGATGGTCGTAATGTTCCTTTCTGATTTAAAACTCCATAAATATAGTAGTGTCCAAACAAGGGCAGTGTCTTAGTAGAGCCCTATCCCTACAGTTGCTGAAGTATGCCAGTAGCTGTGTCTTTACATAATTTCAGTGAGCAGCATCAAAATAAATTTAATTCCTTGCTATGTCTTAATGGGACTCTTCACCAGTGTGAACAGGCTCAGAACTGCGTTATTTAGGTTACTAATACCTACCATGCAGTGCACTCGTTTTCATGAGAGTACAGACGAGAGCAATTAATGGTCGGATTTTTCCTTGCCTTGAGCTCCAAAGAAGACTACATCTGAGATGGTTGCTCGTTAGACTCAGCAGAGAGAGAAAGCTTTTAGGGTGTGTCTAACTACTCTCTACAAAAGGTGTTTGGGGTGACTTGTCAGGATGTAGTGGCAAGTTTCCCATCACTTGCTGATGTGTTTTAGTGAATTTTGATGAGGAAAGTTGTAGCTGTGCTGCCTATTAACTCAGGCGTTAGGTGTCTAGTAGGTCAACTACTCCCTTGTGAGTGAGGCGTTAGGTCAACTGAGTCTAGTAGGTCAACTACTCCCTTGTGAGTGTCCCACTTTCAGTCCTGACTCAAGTTGGGCAGAGACTGAACCGTGAAGCTTGGTTCACTTTATTTTCTCTCCTTCTTTCTTGCTGGCATATCCTAACAAATCTGAGTTGCTGATGCATGGGAGAGAGCCTGTTCTTACAGGATTTGTGGTTCAGTGATTTCAGTGCTGGAAATCATGGGAGCAGAGCTATCTCATGACAGTCCTAATTCTTTACTGTAGCTTTCAATTTCAAATAAGTTTTGGTTAAAATAAATGATCTAGAATCTAAATTTAGGAAGTAAAGCTTTTCCTATCAAGTCACTTCATGGAAAAGGAAGCAAAGCAAATAATGGTCCCACCTTAGTGTCCAAGAACCCTTCAGGTACACACGTGCTGAACAGTAAATCTAGCCTCCAGTTTGAGCTGTCTGTAACTGGACAAAAGAGGAATGCTGCAGGCCATAAAAAAAGTTCACTGACAAAGCCAAGACTAGAAAATTATGCATTTCCTAGGCTGCATTGTGAGACTGCTTCTATAAAAGTCCATTTTCAAAACTGCTGAATTGAGAAGCTGAATTTGAGCTGTAGCTGTGGTTCAAACTAGCGTTAAAAGGTATCCGTTTTTACAAGATTCATTTACTTGCCCTTTTTGGCAAATGCTCCTTCTTTTTTTATACAATATTTTCGGTGCTTTCTATAACACACGATTGCATACACTTTGTGGGCTGAAAATATTAATGTAAGTATTCATTCTCTATAAAAGACTCTATGCATCTATTTTTCCACTGTGTTCCCCCTTGTGCATTTTATTTCAGCTCAAGACAGTTCTAATTACCAGACTGTTCGTTTAACACAGAGAAAGGAGATTCTGAACCTTGTAAGCCCTCAAACACAGGAATTTTCTTTGACCATGAAATGAAGAGTTCACATTTATATTCAACCCACAAGGCTATATTATGTTAACCTTGCTTGATTTCGCTATCGGGATAGTAATACTAATTGAAGACTTCTTGCTGTTTAAAGACAGTGAAGACCACTTAAACATTCAGAGGTTTTGCTACAAAAAAGGCTTTTCCTGTAAATATTTTGTGTTGTTTTTTGCATGTATGTTCTGCTAAGCTATTTAAATACTGCGCTTGAAGAACAGCTTTCATAGCTGATCTGAGTTTTTTTCTTCTGAGGGCAGGAGTTTACTTTAACCAATTTTTTTAAACAGTTCTTCATATATGTAAAAATTTGTTTTTTCTCTTTCAGTTTTCCTACTTGGAGAAGCTGTTGTTGGTCCACGGAGCTTGGAGTTACAATAGAGTTACCAAGTGCATACTATACTGCTTCTACAAGAATGTAGTCTTGTATATTATTGAGGTAAGAGTAACTAAATGGATGGGTCTTACTGGTGCTTACTCCTCAAATAGTCTCTTATAAAAAGAAGAACTCATCCAAATGGATTGAGCTAAAAGGACTGACATTTTTTTTCCATGTTTAACAACTTAAAATTGTTTCCTTTCTCAGATTAAGTTAGTTCACTTGAACCTTTTAACGTTTGCAAAAGGAAAACTGAAGGTTGCAGTACAGTGAAGCCTTGGATATGAGATGTCAGGGACAAAGTTCATTCCTTCTGTGCAAATGCTCTTATTGAAAGCTTCTTTGTATGCATGGAAACATTACAATTAGAGCTTATATTTATAAAACTTGAATTTGGGGCTAAAATTAAATCAAAAGTTCATTTAATAGAATCGGGAAGAACTCTATAGGCAAATAATAAACTAGGCAAAAACTAGCTGTTGCTTCCAAATTATAAAAACCATAGCTTAGCTGGAACTGAAATTAGTTTGCCTTCTTTTTTGGAAAGAGAGGACATTTTGCCTTACAATGCCAGTGAAATTATAAAATTAATCAGGTTATTTGATTTAGTAATATTTTAAAATGTAACTAAGTATGTTTTGAAAAATAAAGTGCCTGAAGATGCCAAGTAGTGAAACTGGATTTTAGAGGGCTGAATACTGTTATGAACATTAATACATTGCATTTCAGCCTGCTTAGATAGGAGCGTAGTTCTCATGCTTCAGGATATATTCTTGAATTTAAGAAAGATCAGGAAGGGATGCTTATTGTGTGCTGTTGCCTAGTTAGAAACACACAAGGAACTTTAACTCAGTGGATTGGTCATGAGTATCAAGTGGTCACTTGGTACAGCAATTTCCACATTGTTCATCGGTTTTATTTATATATGTCAATGTGTATATATTAGGTTTTCTATTTCTTTCTACAATTAAGCAGACATGAATGAGGTTAACAGATAAGAAAATTAGAACATTTATAATTAGGCAGCTAGTTATATCGATTACAAGAGATAGTGGGTAAGCAATGCTTTACTATTCAGTGAATCATATCATGGTCAGTGTGTGTATACCTGACTCCCTCAGGGCCTGATCACCTTTTATGCACGATGTTAGGCTCTTAGAGAAAAAATACTCTCCGCTAACTTGCTCCATTTTTCCTGGGCTAACTATTTCTGAATGAGCTGTTGGCTGTTATAATTTCAACACAGATTAGTCTGTTTACTGCAAGAGAGTTACTCTATGCAATCAAAATAATGGCAGTGTTTTGCTGTAGTGGGTGAGAGCAGGATGGCTGAGTGATATACAGTATGCTAGATTTGTGAAATAATATGAGGAGTTGATTTTTTTCTAAATTTTAAGCATACAAATCTCAACTGTATTCCAACCCTTTAGCCAGATTCTCTGCCAAATTTATAATCCATGTTCCTGAGATTTCACAAGTGTGTTCTTGTCCTAGTGTAGAAGCCACCTTCACAGCTCTGGGATGACTTTAGTACACTTAAATAATTAAGATTTGGTTCATGTTTTGCTTTCTGAAATAGTCCTTAATTTGCCTTGGGCTGATCATAACTCATGTTTTTAGCAAGGTTTTTTAAGTGTTGTTGGAAATGACAATAATATTCATTATTGTGCAAAAGAAATGTAAGTAATTTTAAAAAGAACTTCTCTAGTGGGTTTCTTACTGAACATAGGAATTGCTGGGGTTTTTCCTGAATTGTTCAGAAAATGCTTAACAGCATGAAGCTGTTAATCATGAAGCATGATTGCCTTCTAGGATTCTTTTCTCCATTTGAAAATTAGTTTTGAAAGTCCTGCTTCTTGCCCATTGTAGGAGTGTGTGTCTTTGCTTCATTTACTTCATTTACTGTCTGACAAGTAAATGAAGTTCTGCATCAAATGTATGGCTAAATTATGCCTTCCCATGTGAGCAGCTGTGGAAGGCGTTGAAGACAGGTGAAGGCCTCTGGGACCTCCAGCCTGAGGTAGCTTAATCATCTTACCATAGGGAGGAATTTTATTAGGCAGAGATATCGCTCTATGATGCGTAAAATGCAAGGCTACTCCGAGAATGTGAGGTTAGATATTCTCTTCACTGTATTAGTCTGTGTTCAGTTCTTTCTGCATACTGTACTGAGGCAAACAAGCTTTTGTGTCTTCTGATGTCCATGACTAAGGGTGGGAGTCAGTTCCATTTAACACCTGAGCACTGAAAAATGTGTAACGAGCTTCAGCCCTGTGCCTTGGTTTCCCCTCTGTGCTCATGCTGCATAGAAGTTGGGAGCAAGTTTAAGTCTTAAGGGAGGTGAAGTGACAGAAGAAATCGTGTAGACCTGCAGCAATGGGAAGAGCTCAATTTGGTTTTAGTTCCCCTGGTGAGTTTACTAGTGGCCTTAAGGAAATTCCCCTCCAAAACTCTATAGAACTAGTCAAATTGCCTGGAAACCAAAGAGACACCAATTTTGGTATCCTAGGGATGCAGGGGAGAGAGAGAAGAGGTCTCTAATTCCCTTCTTAGCTTTACACAAAGAAAGCTGAGTTGTTTTGTATTTTTGCTGTGAAAAAGAAGCTTCTTGGGAGCGCTGATCAGTTTGTGGTACAGAGTGACGCTCATGAAAGAGAAGCTCCACGAGGGAATAAATCCTTCAACTTGAGAGAATGGTAGTTGAGTGCCCAGCACTCCTGCACTGTTGCTTGTGCACATGGTATGTTCCTGATTGTTTCCCAATGCTCTGGACAAGTTTAATACTTACCTGTACTTCCTGCTTGGATGTGGGGTGTATGGGGAATATTCTTTCAGCATTGTAATGAAATAGGGATTTGAACTTGAACTACTTCCTAAGTTAATCTTCTAAAGGATTGTACTGAGTAAATATTTATAGAGTTGAATCAAAAAGCACATCCGTCAATATGATTGTCAGTTATACCTTTGCTACTGTATCTGTTTTATTTCAATGAAGCTTTAACACCTGAGGAATAACTACAGTAAGCGTTATATAAATGAGTTTTGCAGCAGTGAAGCACTGGGGCTCATCATAACTTTTATTCCTTGACACTTTCCAAATATCAGAGAGAAATAAGAGGTGGTACTCAGGCTTAGCACACAACATCCAGACACAACTTGCAGAGGCATACATTAAGATTTAAGTTAATTGAACAGTGATAAATGCTTGAGGAGTACATATTGCTGTCTGCTTTCCTAGCATCCCAGCAATGGTATGTTAAAACCCCTAATACACTTAGAAGTTCATCTTGATACCAATCACTCTTTTACACCAGGAAGACCCAAACTGTGGCATCCCTGAAACATTAAATTTCATCAGCTTTCCTTCAGCTTCTGGGAAGAGTGATAATTAAAATACAGAATTTGGGATTTGATGGGAAGTGTACTCAGGTGACTGGCATCATGGACTTTACTCCTAAGAGATGCTGCTGGGTTAAGTCTGGTGCTTACCTTCCTGCAGTGGCTGATTGTGGAGAGACCGGGGCCCCAGGAACTGTTTTCAACTGCTTTGATAATGACTAAAATGTGTGCCCATATTGGGACAATTTTGTGCAGCTAGGGAGCTAATATAGCAGAAGGCAAGCCTTGTAGTCTAGTGATTGCAGGGAAAATAGAGATGAGAGTGTATTTTCCCTCTCCCTTGATTAGGCCTTCCTAATTTTAAGAGGTGAATTTTAAGGCATCAAAGTGATAAAGCTCAGTGAAGTCTGAGAAGATTTTGGTTTGGCTTAACAGCTGGAAACTTGATGTTGCTCTCCTTTCTCTGACCTGATCTCTTTCCTTTTGCATTTCTTCATTATTGTCCTCCTGTCATTCTCTTAATTTCCCCCCTTGATTTTTGAAAATAGAAAACTTAGTGAAATATAAATCAAAAGCAGAAAGAGAAGCGCGTCCTGGAAATTCAAGTCCTTTCAGTGTGATTCTTAGCCTGATTCTTGAGCTCTTGCGTGTCACTACTGTCAAGGTGCTTCAGGGTGTAAAGTTGGGGTTCTCTCGCTTATGGCCTCACTTACTGGCAGAGGGGTGCATAATCAAGCCTTTCCATCCACAGAGCTGGTTGATAGATGAATTGCTGCCACTTCCCAACTCTGACTGGCCCTGCTGGGTCTGTCCTAACAGTGGCAAGGGAATCTACATAGAAAGCTACCAAGATGGCTTCAGGCATCAAATGCAAATATAAAACCTCCTCTTTGGTGTCCATTCTTGTATTTCCTGTGTCTGGCTGCAGTAGCAGTGTGCAGTAAAGCCATTACTGAGGAAAGCCAATCATTCAGCATCATCCTGAAGCAGAAGGTCAGTGACAGGGTTTTGGCTTTTAGAGCTTTGACAGACAAATACCTGGGCATCATTACAAAACACCATCTCATTCAGTTATTTATGTAGCTGGCTTTAAACTGAGTAGTGAAACAAAAGGTCTGTTTCACATCTGTTGAGCAGATATCTTTCACTGGAGATGATATAAAGTTGTCCAGATGACATCAGAGCTTTGAAATACAGCTGATTTCAAATGTAAAAGAATACAGGAATGTTGCTTTCATGTCATGCTTGGAGAAGTAGAAACGCAGCAAGATCAAAGGCAGTATCAGAAATATCAGGTAAGAGTTCAAGGCATTTGGGAATGGTTCTGTGGAAACAGTAGCATGGAAGATAGCTTTCAGGCCAACACAGTGTGCAGGAAAAATGTGCTCAGTACTTCACTGGACCATGTTGTTTATCTGAAACATACTTAATATGAAGTGCTTTTGTATTATGTATTGCAGAATGGCGGGGGGGGAATAGGTGGTTCCTGTGTCAAGGTCTGGTGGTGTTAGGGCCATGACAGACAAATTAATGGCAAGTGGGAAGGGGAGCATATAGTGTACATACCTTGACGCTGCATTATTTTCTTTTCTGCCTTAAGAATCCAGAGATAAGTTGTAAGCCCAGACTGGAAAGCTGTTTCTTTGTGGAGGCTGAGAGGGAAGTCTTATATGTGAGCAGTGTTAAACAAACAAGATAAATGTACTAAAGAACAAAACACC